GTCGCAATTCTTATCTTCATATATATATATATATATATATAAAGAGAGAGTGAGAGAGAGAGAGAGAGAGAGAGAGAGGGAGGGAGAGAGAGAGGGAGGGAGAAGAATGAAGACCCTGAATTAGGAGTTCACAGATACCTTATGTCCTCCCTCTCTCCCTGTAAAGTTGGCTTTAATAGTCAAGAAAGGCCTTGGCTCAGCACTCATACTAGTGATGCCAGTACCTTCCTTCTCCAGGAGCAAGGAGTGACACTGAAGTAGCACCTGTGACAAAAGCTGGATTCCTCGTGCCCGAGTTCGGGGTTCTGGATTCTCTAGAGAAGACCTGGGAGGAAGTAATATAGAGAGAGCCTGACATTATCCAGTTAAAACTTTTGAAGTAAATATTTTGCAGTCAGTCACATGCACCCCCCACCCCCCTTCATGGAAGCCAGCCCAGGAAGATGTTCTGGAGGTACTTAGTATTACAGATGACAGTAAGGCCAGAGCGTAAAGAGCCAATTCCCAGACTGACCTGGTATCATCAGTGGCATATGTGACACCAAAGCCAACAGAAGTGTCCATCTCCAGGCACTTACTGGGCATGGGGCTTACTCTTCCTCCCCAGCCCTGATACGATTGTCACATTCCTCTAAAACAGAGCTTAGCAGCTACCAACAAGGCTCAAGAGCTGACAGGAGGAGAATAAATCTATCACCGTTAAAGCAACCGCTCTGGTCTTAGAAGAAAAAAAAACCCTTTATTATAACTGGAAGTTTACAAAGTAAGATGGTTAGAATAAAGATTTTAACTACTTAGGATTACTGATATGGGATCTAGGCTGAAGCAACAAGGAGGTGATTTATCTTCCAAATAAATCATAGAGATTACATTTAAACATACTAGAAGGAATCTAAGTAAATGTAGGAGATAGAAGACTTCTGAAGGAGAGCTGTAGCTAGGGGTAATAGGGCAAAAATAAGATTGCTCTTGACAGGATCCCTAGGATAGGAACTTACACAAAGGTCCCTGCTCAGAAGTAGAAAACTGTACATTTAAAAATAGACCAAGGCACATGAATGCTCATAGTAGTATTATTCAGAATAGTCAAAATGTGGAAACAACCCAGATATCCCTCAACTGATGAACGGTTAAACAAATGTGGCCTATCCACATAAAAGATTAACATTCAGCAAGAAATAAGGTACTGATATGTGATACAACACAGATGAACTTTGAAAACATTATGCTGAGTGAAAGAAGCCAGTTACAAAGGTTATATATTATTGTATGATTCCATTTATATGAAATTTCCAGAATGAGTAAATCCACAGAGACAAAGTAAATTAGTGGTTGCCAAGAGCTAGGAAGAGGAAGGAATGGGGAGTGACTGCTAACGGGCATGGGGTTTCTTTTTGGAGAGATGAAAATGTCCTAAAATAGACTGTGGTAAGGGTTGCACAAATCTGTGAATACACACTTTAAAATGGTGAACTTTCTAATATGTGAATTATATCTCAATAAAGCTGCTATTTTTTACAAAAAATGGACCAAGACCACAACAAGATGAGCAGAAAGGCCAAATGGTCTCTTACGTGGGAGAAATGCTTAATAGTGACCTACTCCCCCATCCCTCCCCAATTTTCTAGTTTTCTCTGTTTTAGAAGACATGCTGGCCATGACAGTCAATGACCTTTGCTACTAAGACTTGTCAATTTAAATGTTCTACTAAGTATGAAGTATGAGGAAACTAGGCCATTAGACTACAAGCTTGGAATATTTGGTTGTAACACTGGTCTTCCAACTGTTTTCCCAAGCCTTTTCCTATAGTGGGGAATCTGGTGCAAGGGCAGCCTCCAGGCAACTCCCCAGCCTGGGCCCACAGCCAGTCTGAGTCAGATGCGGGCTGACTAGAATCCCACGGGGGAGGGTGGGTCTGAAGAAGCAGAGAAGGAATCCCAGCTCTAATTAAGTAAGAGTTGATGGCTTTCAACCACCCATTTCACCCTAAACCTGTGGGCTGACCCCAGAGCTAACGTGGCTCAGGGACTGTATTCCCAACACTTCCTTAGGTACCTTAGTCAGGTGGCATGAATCTGTTTTCAGGAGAAACAGGCTTAGCCTGAAGCACTGATATAGAAGGGGGAGAAAGGTGTTGGGCTACAGTTGGAGGAATTCAGGACAAAATAACTTTTTCAGAGTGCACTGGCAGGGCTGGAAAGGGGCATTCTAGAGCAGAGGCTCTTACCCAAGGGCTTCCACCACTTGTAATACTGTATAGCTTCCAGATTTCACATCTAGAGGAAACAAAAGAAAGAAATATGAAAAAAACAAAAATAATACTCTATCCCAGGGTTCAGTGGCTCTAATCACCAGTGTTTCTGCCTACCCTGGGATTCACACCATGGGGCCCACTGTGCTTGCCAAGAGCCCCTTGTACATGAGAGGCATTACTGTAACACTTCAAATACACAGCTTCAAGTATAAAAATTGGGGAAAAAGGTCAATATATCATTTGTAGGTAACATGATTGTTTATCTAGAAAATCCAAGAGAAATAAATGAAAAAAAATTACAAATAAAGTAATTTATTAGGGTGGCTAGGTACAAAAAATTAAGAACCTTCACATATATACATACAATAGTCTGTAAAATGATAAAGAAAAAAAGGAAAAAAGAGCCTATTTACAATAGAAAAAGAGAGAGAGAGAGAAAAATATAAACTTAACAAAAAATGTGAATACCTGAATGGTGAAAACTCTAAAGCACCAGTGAGAAAGTTAATATGCAAAAAAGAATACATAATAAAAGGCAAATTCTGAAAATGAGTAATGAGGGAGGGAGGGTAGTCCTTCCAGATAGTAGAAGACTGTTTTAAAGCCACAATAATTCAAATATTGTATAGCCATTTTAACAATATTAATTCTTCCAATCCGAGAGCAGTGGGATAATCTTTCCATTTCCTTGAATAATCTTCAATTTCCTTTATCAATGTTGTGTAGTTCTCAGCATATAAGTCTTTCACCTCCTTGGTCAGGTTTATTCCTAAGTATTTTACTTTATTAAAAAAATTTATTTTTATTTTTAACTGAAGTATAGTCAATTTGCAATGTCATATTAGTCTCTGGTGTATAGCATGGTGATTCAGTTATATACACACATGTTTTATACATGAATATATATATTTTTTCATTATAGGTTACTACAAGATATTGAATATCGTTTCCTGTGCTATACAGTAGAACCTTGTTGTTTATCTGTTTCATATACAGTAGTTAGTATCTGCAAATCTCAAATTCCCAATTTATCACTCCTTCTCCCCCGGTAACCTTAAGTTTGTTTTCTAATCTGTTTCTGTTTTGTAAATAAGTTCATCTGTGTCATTTAGATTGCACATATAAGTGATATCATATGGTATTTATTTTTCTCTTTCTGGCTTACTTCACTTAGAATGATAATCTCTAGTCTATCCATGTTGCTTCAGATGGCATTATTTCATTCTTTTTTATGGCTGAGTAGTATTCCATTGTGTATATAAACCATCACTTCTTTATCCAATCATCTGCTGATGGATACTTAGGTTGCTTCCATGTCTTGGCTACTGTAAATATGCAGTAACACTGGGTTCCATGTATCTTGTCAAATTATAATTTCTTCCAGATATATGTTCAGGAGTGGGATTACTGGGTCATATGGTAAGTCTATTTTCAGTTTTTTAAGGAATCTCTATACTGTTTTTCATAGTGGCTACACCAAATTACATTCCTACCAACAGTGTAGAAGGGTTCCCTTTTCTCCACACCCTCTCCAGCATTTACCATTTGTGGACTTTTTAATGATGGCCATTCCGACCAATGTGAGGTGATACCTCATTGCAGTTTTGATTTGAATTTCTCTGATAATTAGTGATATTGAACTTATTGTCATATCCTATTGGTATGTCTTCATTGGAGAAATGTCTGTTTAGGTCATCTGCCCATTTTTTGATTGGGTTTTTTTTTGTTACTGATATGTATCAACTGTATGTATAAACTGGAAATTAAGCCCTTGTCAGTTGCATTGTTTGCACATATTTTCTCCCAGTCCATAGGCTGTCTTCTAATTTTGTTTATAGTTTCCTTTACTGTGCAAAACCTTATAAGTTTAATTAGATGCCATTTGTTTATTTTTGCTTTTATATCTATTTACTTTAGGCTGACCTAGGAGAACATTGCTACAATTTATGTCAGAGAATGTTTTGCCTATTTTCTCTTTTAGGAAATATGGTCCTGTCTCATGTTTTAAGTCTTTACACCATTTTGAGTTTATTTTTATG